GAGAGAGAGAGAGAGAGAGAGAGAGAGAGAGAGAGAAAGAGAGAGACTAGTTTTTACTTTTAATTGAGAAACTGGTAAATTCCTCAGAAATATAAAAGGAAACTAAATTAATTACAGTATTACTCAATTTCCCTTTAATTTTTAAATATAAATTATTGTAAATGTAGATTAAGTCATAAACTACCCAAATAGTTCCCGTAATATAATTACAATTAATTATTAATTATATAAATTTTGTTTGGCAATATTTATATTGAGTTTAACTCAATAATATTTTAATAAATGTTTTAATTGTTCACAATTGTAACCAACAGTGCAATGAAATAACATTATAAATACTGTGTATATAAAGTGACACAAAATATAATATTAATTAACTACAATTAGATTTACTATGACGAAAACTTCCTTATTTGCATTTATATTATTGCAATTATTTCACTATTATCTAGGTAAAATAAATATACCCTACTTTTATATAGAGTATTTGAAATACAATAAGCATGATAATTTATATAATTAGCAATAACCATACCCAGCGTTTGCGATGAGGGTTGGATCGCCTATCGAGACGAGAAGTGTTACCGTGTGTTCAACACAACCCCTCCCATGACATACGCCCAGAGCGTTGAATTTTGCGCCGGACTCCAGTCGTTGCCGTTTAGCACCACTTTAGTCACCATTCATACGGCGGACGAGCAGTCATTTCTGACCCACTATTTGACCGGAGTTTTCGCCGACGGGACTAACGTATGGATCGGCGCCCGACAGCGTCGTCGGTCTCGCCCTGGTTTCCAATGGACCGACGGTACGGATATGGAGTACAGCAGATGGCTGTCGGGTCAGCCCACGGACGCCCCGGGCTATGACTGCGTGACAATGAAATCACGGTATTTGGCGAATGGAAGGGTTAAAACAGACGGCGAGTGGGCAAACGTGTTGTGCGGTTTGGCACACGTAGTGCTCTGTCAACGGCTACAGTACTGGACGTATCAACAATCGCAGCCCATTTTAATGGCTACCCGTAGGCGCACCAATTGGCTCAGCGACGAGCTAGATGCGTTGCGGCACCAATTAGATACAACTAAACACGATAGGGATGCGCTAAAACATGACCTAGTTGATATAAAAAATGAATTAAGAGATTTAAGGTTAGACGTGTACAGTATCATGATGAATTCGACAACGTTTAAAAGAACACATGGTGAGTAAAGTTTAATTAAACTTGATCTGAAATAAACTTGCTCTAAAGTCATAATATTTTACAGATGTATTGCCAGCCGTACCACTGGTGGTGAAGAGTCCATACCTGTCCACCTGGTTGTTTGGCAGGGAATTGTTCGGCCATTGGGCCCAATTCTACACCGGAGCCCATACAAGTATGACGGGCTTCGTTCGTGTCGACAGTCAGGCCTATAAGTTTATGGGCGCTCACTATATTGCTCACGAAAAGATACTCCGAGCCGTACAGTCGGGTCTTCGCGTGACACCAACGCAATCAATCTTCACGTTTACCGCCGGACCCATAGAACTGGTCGTAAACTTCTTCACTCCTATCGATCCGACAGATCTCAAGCGTCTGTCACTTCCGGCCTCTTATATATCAATGAGCGCCCGATCTGTCGATCACAAGACACATGAAGTGCAGGTATATCTGGGTATGACTGGGGAATGGGTTACCAGTGATCTCAACCAAGTTGTTGAATGGGACGTACGCGAAGTGAACGGCAAATCAAATCTAGTTAATGGTGACTTTAAGCTCAAAAATGAAAAAAAGTTTAATGAAAATAAAGGTAAATATAAAATACTATTTCAAAATTTTCTTTAATCATTAATTATAATTTTTATTCGTCAGAATTACCCGAATGGGGAACCATTAAGTTTTTCACCGACTCGACCGCCACTTATGAAGTATTTATACATATTATACAATATTAAGTTTTATTAGTGTTTCAAACAATTTATGAGCATTTTTAGGCCAATTTTGTAGATACTATGCGCTCAAAGTTTATAAAAACGGGTCGACTCGACAATAATGTAGACAGAAATTATCGTAAAGTATCCGACAATTGGCCGGGCATTGGGTTCGCGCGGACACTGACCGCCGGCGCCACTCATACGGCGGCAAACACTGTGTATTACGGCGTCGCTCACGTCAGACGACCGGCCATTGAGTACACGGACTCACATCTGAACCAATTATGGGAAAGTTATTTCAATGGAGACG